CGCGGCGGCTGGGGGGTGCGCCGGGGGGTGGTCCTCGCCGCGGGCGTCCTGCACAGCCCGCGGCTCTGCCGGCAGCTCTACCGCAGCCCCGGCCTCCCCCGGCCGCCGCGCTGGGCCTGAACGCGGCTGCCGGTTGTCGGACGGTGGGGATGCGCGATGCCCTCGCCCTCCCTCTGCTCTTTAACACCCGCCCGGGGGTCGCCGGGGTCGCCGATGGGGGCGTGGGAATTCGGGAGGGCCTGGAGTGGCTGTTCACCCGCCGCGGCCCCGCACTGCAGCCGCTGCTGGAGGTCGTGGCGTCAATCCCCGCCAAGACCCTCGGGCCGAGGGCGGAGCTGCTGCTCTGCATCGTCCCCCTCGCCGGGCGCGGCGCGACGCGCTTTCACCGCCTGGGCTGGGACCGCATGTTGGGCACTTTCCGGGAGGCGCTGGGCCTGGTGATGCTGTTGAACGGCGTGGAGGGCGGCCTTGCCCACGCCATCGCGCTCGCGCCGGAGGACGCCCATGAGCCAGCCGAGTCCACACTGATCCGCCGCTTTGGGCTTCGCCCGCTGGAGACGGTGGATTTGATCGACCCGGAGACCCACCCGACGCTTGATGATGCACCGCTGACGCAAACTGAGGCTTCACCCACGACAAACATTGATACTCTTCGGGAAAAAATCATTGATTGCTTTGTGGACGGGATGCACATGTGCCGCAAAATTATTCACACAAAGCCGATATCCCTTCTGACCTCGGGGGCCGAGGCGATCGACTTCAGCTTGTTGCGTGATAACCCCAGCAAGTCGATTCAGCTCGCAAAACTCATGCATATCCCTGCCAAGCGCCAAACGCTAAAAATGCAGACGGATTTGAAAAGCTTGGCCGAATGGGCTGGTGAGTTAATCTTGAAAGCGGATTATATGAGGGCGTACGTTCGCGAACATGCCTTTTGGCTTGGATTCGGCAGTGGAACAAGCGAGACTTTCCTCGAAAACCCCACCCTTGAGGAATCTGGGGAAGTGAAACCAAATTTTCACGTCAAAGGCTTCCGCAATATTGTTGTGGGGGATTCATCATCTATACCTAATGCACTTTTCTCAAGCAAATTTGTTAACTTCAATTCTTTGTCAGCAGGTGGAATCGCGACAGCTATCGATACCGGACGATTGGCAGCAAAATCTTTGGTTGTACGCTAATTAATATACAACACCTTTAATATATATTCTTTATCTTTATCAGAAATGTATTAATTGGATATACATAAAAAGTGATAGATTGATGTAGGCTTTGCCGCTGTATATTCTGAGTGTTGTTTTGCATAAACAGGACGCCTGACAACATTTTTTCCCCTCCTGTGAAAGCTTAAACTGCAATAAGATAGTTTAGAGAACAGTTATATTTGATTCAAACTAGATCCTAATATCATTCAAAAGATAAAAAATACCACTATGGCGCCTTCTCGAAGTTGGGTTTCTCTGAGTGATAATGAACTTCAGAAGGAACTCCAGAGCATCTTTTCACAACTCTCCGCCAAGGCAACGAACCCCTCAAACAGGCAATCTGATGAATGGGAGCAGCGGCTTTCCGCGCTGCAGGGCCTTCAGGAGTGTGCGCGCGCCGATCTCTCCCAGCGACATAATTTTACACAGCTTATGTCCTCCCTTTTCAAACTCTCATTGCTAGAGCAGTTGGAGGATCGGCGCTCACGAATCGTGCGCGCGGCTTGTGCGGTGATTCGTGATTTCGTTCTTTACTCGTCAAACCGTGCGGGCTGCGCGATGATGAGCACCTGGTACGTCCCCACGCTCCTTCGTCTAACGGGCTGCACCGTCACCCTGATTTCGGACGCCGCGAAGGAGGTTTTGCGCACCATTTTAAGCTCCAGCGGGTACAGTATTGAGGCTTTCAGCCAGCTGCTGAAATCGTGTTGTGCACGCCAGGCGGGGGTCCGCGCCCACGCGCTGGAGATGCTTGCGATGGTCCTTCAGCAAGCCAAAGGGACCTCTCAGCAGCTCCCAATCGCGCACTACGCCGCACCCATCCGCCGAGTGATTCGGGATGGCCTTCTGGAGGGCGATTCGCGCGTTCGACAGGCCGCGCGGACGGGTTATTGGGCCTTTTTCGCCATGGATCCGGACGATGCGGAGATGCTTCTGCGGAGCCTTCCGCCATCCGTCTGGACGGCCCTTGATGACGCGAAAGCCCTGGCATTTCACCACATTGGTGCGGTCCAGCCCACGGAGCGCGGCGCTCCCGAGGGCCCATCCGACCCCCAAGACGACCCCTCCACGGCAGGGGGGAAAGGAGTTAGCATCTCCGCGAGAAAAGTGTTCACGGGGCGCCAGGACAATCTTCCATTCGAGGCCGAGGCGCCTGTGGAAGGTCCAAAGGGGGGGGAAGCAGAGGTGAGTCGAGCACTCTGCGAGGATCTCCGCACGGTCGCCGCCCGAAAGGCGCGAGCGTTGGTCCTCCGCCGTGATGCCGCCCGTCAGCTGAGAAGGCCCTTACACCTACCCTCGCGAAGGCCATCGGATCCACGGCACGCACCCCTCAAGACCTTTTCTGCAGGAAAAGAGGGATTTTTCGAAACCCAACTCGCTGAGGGTGCCCATGCGGCGGACGGTCTAGATGGGGAGCGCTGGAGGAGGCGTTCGGACGCGACGTCTTTAGGGCTGACACCTGAGAGGCGGACGGTGTTGAATCAACTGCTCGCCAGCAGCGACTGGCGAGAGCGTTTAGAGGCCATCCAGGAGCTTGAACACCTTTATGCGCACTTGGAGGATGAAATGCTGGAGGAATGTGTGAAGGAAATGGTATGTCATATGGACGATCCCCACTTCCGGGTTCGAGAGGCAGCGCTTGAGTTCTTTGTTCGGCTTCCTAATCAATTATGTGTGGATTGGCTCCGTCATTTTATGGCCGAAACCGTATCGGTTCTTATTATGAACACTAATAGCACAAAGAGTTCTATTAAATGTATGTCTAGACAACTCCTCGCACACTTTATAATGGCATCGAAAGCTGAGGCTATCGTTGATGTTTTCTTCCACTGTGTGGCGTCGGCATCGACCGTGAATATTCGAAAGCGCGCTATTGAGGCTCTTCAGTTTCTCTTTGTCAGGCATTTTCGTTATTTCTGGAATCCTAAGGTAATGACTCGGACGCTTCCTATTTTAATACGGCAGCTCTCGTATGAGGAGAAGCGCGGTATCGCCAAGAACGGTGGGGGATGTGAGGACATCGTGAGCGTCTTCTCCACGCTTTACGCGGTCGCTCCTGGCCCTTTCGTTTCAGCTGTGCGAAGGTTGGATGAGAAAATGCGAGGCATTCTTTGCGAAGCCCTGCAGAAGGTTTTACCTGATCTCGAGGGCGAATGCGCGGCGGACGAGGCGGTTCCGAGGAACCATTTTAGTGAAAAGGAGGGCTTATCGAGAGAAGACCTCGTACCGCCCCCTTTCCGGGCTTATCTGAAGGGGTCACGATCTTCCGCCCATCATGGGATGCCTAATCCCAACGCAAGAACAGATATTCCCGAGAACCGCAGTCCTAAAACTTGGAAAAGGCGCGACAGCCCGCGCCTTATAGGACCCCTAAAGACCGCCAATGCACCCATGTCTTCTAACGACCTCCCTCCACCCGCGGAGGCCTTTCGCACGGCAGATGGCGCCTACCCTCGCGGCAACGGCGGGATGGACGCCAAGCCCTGCCGGCGTGATCCCGCCCCCGTGGGCACCCCGTCGGCGCGAAACGTGGCGGGCCGCGGGTCGATGGACCTTCTTTATTCGCCCTTCTCGCTCCAGCATTGGGTCGATCCCTGCGAGGAGCTGCGCGAGGCCGTGCCGGAGCTGGAGGCGGAGGAGGCCGTGCGGAGGCGCGGGGACCCCCTCCGGCCCCCCTCCCCTCCCCCCCGCACGCGCTCCTGGTGGAGCTGCTCCGCAGCGAGGTCTTTCTCGAGCGCTGCGCGGCGCTGGAGGGGGTGCACGCCTCCCTCCACGCCCCGGACGCGGCCTTCGTCTGGGGCGGCGACGAGGAGGCCGCCGCGCGGCTTCTCGCCGTGGTGGAGCAGTACTGCACGGAGGCCCAGCAGCCGGACCACCGCGTGCGGCGCCGCGGCTTTGGCCTTCTGCAGGCCCTCGTCGGGCGGCCTTTTTTGCGGCCCCTTATCGCGCGGCGGCTGACCCGCCTCCTGCGCTGCTGCCGCGCCGGCCTCGACGACGCCTTCGTCGAGGTCCGCCAGGCCGCCGCGCGGACGATGGGCCTCGCCCTCGGGGGCTGTCGGCTCCCGCTCGATCTTTGTTTGAACAGCCTGACGTCCTGCCTGGAAGCCTGGCAGCGCGGCCCCGCCCGCGGCGATTCCACGCCCGGATGGCTCGAATTGCTCTACGAGGTCGTGCGGCTTTTCCAGCGGCTGGGCGAGCTCCCGCAGAACCCGGGCCGCGGCGGCGGGGGGGCGAGCAGGACGCTGACGGGGCCCATCCTCCGCCGCGTCGTGAACGTTCTCCAGTGGTGCGGGGATCACTGCGCGGCGAAGGTTCGACAGGCGTCGATCCTGGCCCTCGTGGCGATGTGGAGCGCGTTGGGCCCCAGCGGACTTCCTTTCTTTGTTCCCCTGACGACCGCGCAGCGGGAGATGGTCACTCGATATCACAACCAGGCTCTACAAGATGCGCATGAGTTTCGGGATCCAATACGATCTCATCTTCTTCCTGCAAGTACGTCCATTATCCTCGAACGAGAAGACGAGCCGCTGCCACGTGATTTGGACGCGGAGATGCGTGCCATGGGCTTAGGAAAATAACAACATTGAGAGAGGGTATTTTAACTACATGAAGGTTTACTCTAACGATATTTAGTTGTTACCATACTTGGTTTCCCCCTTTCTTACACGTTATTCTTCATGCTTCACACTAACATTCTTTCAAAGTAGAGGAAAGCTAAGGATAAATCCTTTTTCACGTTTAATCTCACCTCATCGAGTTTTTTTTTTTTCCACCTCTCATAGATTTCTACTGGTCTAGCGTTTAATTAAATTATTATTTTTTTCGTTGCTATCCTCTGAGTTATCCATGATTATCTTTTATTGCCTGTTTATCTATTGAACTTTACACTTTGAACTACATTCTTCACATCTTGTTGTCTTTTCTTTATCCTTTGGTGAACTCTATTCTTTACAGCTCTCTTTTGTCATAAAAAAATCCAAACTCCCGCTTTAGTTATTATAATTATCACAAGTTTTCATTACCGTTTAATTTTCCCTTTTTTTTTTTTTAAGAACCTCACTATCTTTATTCGTTTGGCATAATCCAATGCCCTATGTAGTCTTTTCCGTTGAAAACGCGGATCGACTGATCCTTATGCAGCCCCCACTCGTCCCCAAGGGTTTCCCGACGTTTAAGCAAATCGCTCTTAGTTATATCCACGCCCCCAAGCAGTCTAGGCGCACGCTATCTGGGGGTTTTAGCCCCGAGGAGCCGTGTGCGCGCGACGCCGCTGAGCTGATTCGCGTCGCCTTTATAGGCAAACAAGTCAAATTTGAGGAGGACTACGTCATCGAGGAGCTCAAACGCAACGCCGGTCGCCTTCAACTTCTCACCGGGGAGGATGCCTCGGTGATGCTCTTGGAGGCGGGACTCGCGGAAGTCTCGGAGAATCTTCCTCAGAAAATGAAAAAGCCGCTCAATGATCAATACATGGACTTGATGAAGGCTGCCAAAAAAGCCCAAAAGGGGATATTTCATCCTAAAGCTGCGTCCCGTGTGCGGCAGATGCGAGAGATGACTGTCAGCGAGCTCACGAAACTCGTGCAGGTCTATAACGGCAAGGAGCTATTAGTGCGCATTGAACGCGCGATTTCGGCCCTTGTTTTAATCATTTCTTCCACGGAGTTTGGTGACACTCAGATTCCGGTTCATCTAGCCGGCATTTACGATATTTTAACCGAGGACAACGAGGTCGGGATGCAGGCGAAGCTCCACACGGAGTGCTTTCTTCTGAACCGGAATGTTAATATCCGCTTCGACGGCACGGATGATCGCGGGAATATCTTGGTTTCCATCATCTCCCGAAAAGGCAGCTTTCAAGAGGAGCTCCTCTCCAAAGGCCTTGCCAAGGTCGATGGCAGGGATCCGTCGGTACCCGTGCAGCATGACAAGCTGGTGAAGGCCGAGGCCGAGGCCAAACGACAACGGCTCGGGATTTGGAAGAATTTTGTGGAGAATGCCGCCAAGGATGCAGAGGTACCAGACGGCGGTTATAAAATATCGGCCGGGCCTCCAAAGACGGCGAAAAATGAGCTTCTCGTCGTGGGCGCGAACGGTGCGTCGGGGGTTGCCTACAACGGCCCGGTGAACTTCACCGGCCGACTTATTCAAGTAGTGCAAGGCGACACCATTGTCGTGCGGGAGGAGGATACGAAGCGGTATACGCGGCTAACCCTCAGCGGCATCCGCTCGAGTAAGAATATCGTGCGGGATCAAAACGGAGGCTCGCCGGAGTGCCGGGTGAGCTATTACGAATACGCCTGGGAGGCGAAGGAGTTTCTGCGCACCCGTTTTCTCGGCGCGAGGGTGGTGGTGAGCGTGGACTACGCGCGGGTGATCCCTGAGACGAATGAGGTGCGCCCCGCCGCGTCCGTGACGGTCCTGGATTCGGGCGTTAATATCGGTGCCGCCTTGCTGGAGGAGGGCTACGCGGTTTATTTCCTGGGAAGGAGCGATGTCTGCATGAACGCGAGCCTTTTACAGGCCGCGGAGCAGGAAGCCAAGGCGCGCAAGAGGGGCCTCCATGGTGATCAGCCCCGCCCGACGACCATACTGACGGAGCTCGGCCGGATCGGGGAGAGCAAAGGACGCTATTACCTCAGCTTCTTCCAGCGCGGGATGCAGGGAGGGCGTCCGCCCACACTCAAGGGTGTTGTGGACCTCGTGCTCGGCCCCGCCTTCTTCCGCGTGTTCATCCCGAAGGAGAACTTCCAAATCCCCTTGAAGCTCGCCGGCGTGATTGCCCCGAGCGCCGCCCTTCGATCTAACATGAAGGATGACCCCTTCGCCGAGGAGGCCAAGGATTTCGTGACCTGCCTTATCCAGCAGCGCGAGGTGAATCTCCAGGTTTACACCTCCGATCGTGGTGGAAACTTTATCGCGAGTGTGATGCTGCCGAACGGCACTAATGTATCTTTGGCGTTGGTCGAAGAGGGGCTCGCGACGGTTGGCAATGCAGACGGTCTCCCTTTTGTGGATAAACTATTCGCCGCGGAGGAGGATGCGCGGAGCGCGAAGAAGAACATCTGGTCTGGGGATGGAAGTATTCCCCAGCGTGCTGCCAAGGTCGAGGCCGAACAGCGTGCCGCAATCTCAACGCAGCTTGTGCTCTTGACAAACAATTCATCCAGCTCAACCAACTATACCATCTCCGAGGTCAGTGAAGACGGTCTTTCCGTGTATCTGCAAGAATACGGTCTCGAGACGGACGAGAAAAAGGCTCAAATTCAGGATCTCATCAACCGCACGGTGTCCGCCAGCGTGTATCTGCCGAAGAAAAAAGGTGAACTTCTGGTGGCGGAATACAAACCCGAGAAGCTCTGGTGCCGTGCGAGTGTCGTAAAGATTCTGAAGAACAAAGATGCCGCTGAGGTCCATTACATTGACTTTGGCAACACCTGCCTCGTTTCCACCAAGCACATTCGCTCTATTCCAGACCTTCATGAGTATGATATCGTGCGAAAGACGCCGCCTTTCGCCAAACTTGTCTATCTGGCATTCCTTAAGAAGGAAATACCTACCACTATCGCTATCAGAGGAGCGGCTGATATTATTTATGAATACAGCGACCGAGACATCAAGGCGCATCCCATGTACAAGGATTGTGATGGCAGCGCTTACTACATGATCACGGTAAGCAATAATCAGAAGTCACTTAGTGAGATCCTTCTCCAACATGGCTATGCTATTTTGGACAAGCGCACCGCTTCTCTGTTTCCGTCAGAGTATAAGCGGCACGAAGCAGCGCAAGAAACTGCGCGTAAGGAGCACAAGGCTCTGTGGCAATATGGTGATATAAACGACGATGACGATTTTCATTAAATTGTTGCGATTCCTATTTCAGAAAGGGTTCTACCTGTGTTTTTACTTATTTCCTGTAAGTAAAATACAAATTAACGAGATAATATACATATTTGCCTATTCATATTTGACTTCTTTCCGCTGAGAGCCTTCTTATGCCTTAACGTTTTTTTTTTGTGGTGAATGATTCAGCAAATTAAAGAAATGCAGACAGGTTTGTGTTATTAAAATCATTATTGTGGTATTACATATCATCCATTAGTTTTTTGCCTCTCAAGATACTTTGAATTTTAATATTAGTACCCAATCATCAACAAGTTATTAAAAGATGTTCATGACACTTAAGTGAATTTTGTGCTTTTTATTCCTAACGCATCGTCATGGGCTCAGACTAAAGACGATATTGTAATGAATTTGATTATATTATGATACAAAATTTTGAAGTATTTTGGTATGTCATAATCCTTTAAAAAAACATCTCATTATGTCGTAACACCACTAAATTTACAGTAAATTAATCAACTTTGTAAGCCCTGAACCTATCTGATGAAGTATGTACTTATTTTCATCATTGCTGTTTCTTTTTCTCAGTTAAATTTTCTTTATTGATAACTGCTACTATTGTCACTTCACTGTCAGTAGTGCGTTCATTCACATAACTTATATAAATTCTTATATGCATATCTATTATTCTAAGTTTAATTGTTTTCCATTCAGATAAACGCATATACACTTTTGTTGTCAATTTTAAACAACTTCGAGATATTCGTATTCTATCATGACAGCTCTTCCGCATCTTCAGAAGCAGTTACGTGAGATGACGACTAACCCCCCGGCTGGTTTTCGTATCGAAGTTGACAAAAATATTTACCAGTGGACGGTGTGGTTTGCTGGGCCCCAGGACACGCCGTATGAAGGCGGCCAGTACAAAGCCCATTTGTATTTCACCAAAGAGTTCCCGATGGAGCCCCCCAGCTTCCGTATTGAGTCGAACTTTTGGCATCCCAATGTATATTTAGATGGCCGTGTGTGCATTTCAATTTTGCACCCCCCCGGGGTGGATGAGATGAATGCTGAGGAGAGCGCTATGATGCGCTGGACGCCGGTCCAGACAATTCGCTCGGTGTTGATCTCCATCATCTCTCTGCTGAGCGATCCCGACCCTAAGGATTCGGGCGCACCGGCCAACGTGGATGCCCTGGTGATGTATCGCAAGGATCGCGGCCTCTTTAACACACGGTGTAAAGAGTTGGCCCAGAAGTCCCTGCAGGAGCTGCCCCCCAATTACGTCCCACCGGTCATGGATGAGAGAGCGGAGCCCCCGCAGACGGATCATCCGTACTATAAGGGTCTAGTGGATGAGGAGGATGACGTGGATGAGTTTGATTTGATTCCGTCTCCATCGGGCTCCGTATCCGGCCCGGAGCGCTACCGCGAGGAGCTTCAACAGCTTCGTGCGATGAACATTGATACCACGCTTAGTGATGATGAACTTTTACATCTTCTGACGGAATGCCGTGGTGATATTGCAACTGTTCTGGAGAAGTTGTTTAGCTGATGTTGCTGAGGTCCTTTGTACACATCGGTTTAGTTTGTCACTAGTTACTGATGCTGTGTTGGGCTTACTTTTTGCTTTTGTTGTCTGGTTGGTGTAATGGATAGTAAATTATGGGCTTCATTTGTTATTATTATTCAGGTATTTCCTAAAGTCTCCTTTTTCTTTGTAATAATCCACACCTTTGTTGATATGGGCCATAATTTTAAGAAAGAAAGAGTAGAATATAGTGGTTGGAACTTTAATAACTTTATTATTATTTCGACTTCATTGCTATAAGGATGAACTCTTAAGAAAAAACTGAATACGCAGAAATTTCCTTATCCTACCCTAGGATAATTTGTTTATATTTTTGCATTGCGCATATTCTTCACTTTTTAATGTATGAGAGCTTTTCCAAATTTTATTGTGTAATGTAATGCCTAGTTTCCTTTTCGTCTTCCCAGTTGTGTAGATAGCGATCTTTTCTGGTACTTTGATAAACTGGAACGTAAGGTGAACCAGCATTTGGGAGTTATTTTTTCCTTTTTAAAGTTGTAAAAATAATACCTATCAAAATTACAATCTCAAAGGGTTATAAATTTTATGTAAAAAAGGTCACTACAAGTAATCTGTGTATGGAGTTCTGATTGCATTCGCTCTATATTTTTACCATCGACTGATATCTTTTTGTTAATGAGATAGTCGTAAAATTAATGCTTCTATACATTAGAATATAATTATACACACAAGTCGAAAAAATACATCTGCATTAATTTACACACACAATATATATATATATTCATATATAATATCGACAAGGTATTTAAACATTAGACAAAATAAAGACCAATGCCACCAAAAACCAAAATAAAGGACTCCCCCCGAGGCTTAATGACGAACAATAGTACATTTCCTTCCATCTTCCCACTTTGGGACGACAATCAAATCGCCACAGAAAACTGGGGAGCTCCCTTGATTGCTAGCAGAAAGTCTTCCGTTTACGGAAGTAAAGCCGAAGTCATAGCAAACTTTATGTCAAAATCTACAAAAGAAGTACACTCTACGAAAAGTGCAGGGAGTAAAGAGAGTAGTTGGCTGACTGAATCGTTTGTCGATGCAGAGGGTCGTACTACTCTCGCAGCTTTCCTAGAGTCGGAGCTGTCTAACTTCATCCCTAGGGAAACCTTACCCGACCTTCAATGGGAACGCCCTGTGGAAATCTCTAAACCCTTTCGCCCGGTGGTTCATCGAAATGCAACGCCGTTTGTTGATCCATACGCCCCCAAGGAACTGCTTCAGCCGTTGGAGGTTGAGGAAGAGAATCGTCTTTCCATGGTGGAGGGGTCATCGGTTTATAGCGCCGGAAGCAATGGTTCGCAGCGGCACGGGAAGAACCAAGCTGCACCCGCTACTGAGCCTAATGTTCCTTTCTATCAGCTATACCCAGAGGCAGCTAGCGTAAAAAAGGATCTAGTAGGTCAGGACTGGGCTTCTTGGCAATCGATGGAGAGCGAGGAAGCAATCAGGCGATACAGGGAGCTTCCAGTGCTTATGGAGCCCTATGATCCAACGTATCTCTTTGGTTGCGCGGAGACCCCTGGCGAGGCTTGCGGCTCACGTTATAGCACTGCTTTACGACATAAACTGTCGCGTGTGGCGCGGTTAGAGGCACTTGATCACATGCCTCCATTTCTCATGAGTGCGTTCAACAGTGTTTTGATGGTCGTGCGCTGCTCGCAGCATCTGGTACCCAAGCAGAACTATCTCTGGGAGCTTATTCATCCTCATGCCCCTGGTACCTGCCACCCTGTCTTTAACCCATTTGGGAAGTACGCGGTGAAGCTTTTCATCAAAGGTGCCTACCGCAAGGTACTTGTGGATGACGCAATGTTGGTGGACGTTCTTGGACGACCATTCTTCACCGTCACCTCGTACAGGGAGTTATGGCCAGCGATACTATTCAAGGCAATTTTCAAGGCAGTGCACGCTGAAGGTGACGGCAGTGGCTCGTTGCCCATACGTGTTATGAAGAAACTCCCAGAGTCACTGGTCACCTATTTGATGGGAAATTGGGTACCACAGTATCTGAAGCCCACTCAGGCCCCTGTGGAATGTTCAGCGTTACTCCTCGAGTGGCAGCACGCCATCTATGACTCCCGAAATTCTATCAAGGAGCCGGCGGACAAAGACGTGCCATTACCCATAGAGGTAGGAGAGAAAAGTGAAGCGAAAAACATCAAACCAGCAGCCGAGACCAAGGCCCAGCGTGAAGTAATCAGTGCTGATCGAAAGACAATCTCCTCTAAGGAAGGCAAGAGTTCGTCGACGCCCAAGATGGCTACAAAGGAGGGTACCTCATTTGAGCATACTGACTTGCCTACCCCTACGGAAGCGAATCCGAAGGTATTATCTACGATTATCTGCGGTCTTCGGACGGCGCGTCCGGACTACCCGTCCTCGTCGCCCTCCATGCAGCTCTACGCCGTCACCCAGGTCGTGCCATTTCGCCACACTCTGGCCGTTTGCCTCGTGACGACGCCGCGAACGGCCTTCCCCAACAAAGGCCTCTTTCAGCGCGAGTCAGAGACCAAGGATGTCTGCGATGTCCTCACCAGCACTACGTTTAAGCCACCATGCAGCCCCAACGAATCGGTCTCAATGTGCTGGTTTACCTTCGAGGAGCTCTCAGAATCGTTTGACACCTTGGTCGTGTTTCGTTGCTTTAATTCGCAATCCCTTAATCAGGTCGTTTTGGATGGCGCCACTACTGCCGGTCCGATTTTGGCTGCCATGGCGGCGGCAAATCCAGCTTCGCAAGTCCAAGGAGTCGGTACTCAAAAGAAGCAAACTCGACCCGCAGCCGCTTTGCCCAAAACGGTGCCTTTGGTATCAATAGGCGATACTTCAGAGAACTTCAAGGTACCCACTACGGTAAGCGTGACTGTATGGCTTGGCGTAAAGTGTGAAACCGATGAGAAAGTTGAGGTCGTTGTTCAAAGTAGCAAAAGGGAAGAAAAGAGTGTGGTGCCCTTGAACGATATGGATACCAAAGGGGGCGAATCATCACAAATCACCTGTAACTACACTGATGACACACTTAACGATGACGAACAAGCTGTGCGCACTAGTACAATCCAACTCGAGCTTTTCCACTGGGATCTTGCCGAACCGTTGACGAATGCCACGACTCTTTCCTACCGCATTGGGGACGTCTCCTGCTCAGAGCTGTACCTAAGTCCGGGATATCATGTTTTCTCTGTGACTGTACATGCCATGAGTCCTACCGACACTGTCACTTTTCTATCACACGGTGTATTAAATCTGAAGTCTGAGTTATGCGATCTGGTGAAAGACACCAACTTTAGTTGCATTGTCGATACCGGGGTTTACCCCGCTGTAGAACGCCCTGATGAAGAAACAATCTGGTTTAAGCGGGTTCTGAAACTATCATCGCCGACTTGTATCACGGCCGCTTTGTCGACTCTGCCGTACATGGAGGATCCGAGCGTGAATCGAAAAATCACCCAAGGTGGGTTAAATACTGCTTCTCAGAAAAGTAATGCCAAGACTAGTGCATCAGGTCATGTCAATTCTACCATGAACACGCCAAATCGTGGTAACCCTGGCGGCGGCAAGGTTGTGGCAAGTGGGGGTAGTTCAAACTTAACTCTTAAGCCAAATCAGATAGATGACACGGGTAACCCAATGGCTACTGCCTCGATTCTACAATATACCAAGCTTCTACTGCTCGATCTAGATAATGGTATGAATCTCGGCTATGGTGAGCAAGGTCGTTTGGTGCGCCAGCATTTGGTTCCTAATGAGCGGGGGTACTTGATGCTTGCATATGCCGAAGTCTCACGTTCTGATATGCTTACTATGGAAACTTCTCAAGAGGACGGTGGTGAGGAGATATGCCCCAAAGATTTGCAGTCCTCTACTAGCCAACCGGACGGTGCGAGTGTGCCTCAGTTTTTTAGCAAAGGTGCATGGAAGCTGTACATTCGATCTGACAAGGAGTTGTTATCCTTAGAGACCATTCCTGTTTCTGCTTTACATAAGAAATTTTCAGGCAACCTACAACGTGGTGGCAGCACAACGCTATTTAGCAAGTGCTTGACCCTGGCTGAGCCGGCACACATTTCACTTATCTTGAACTTAAGTGAAAATTATTTAATGCCCTTCAAACTCCGGGTCTGGACTTCGTTGTCGAAAGACACCGATGAGGCTTCAAATGTGAGCGGGAGGCCCTCAAGCCTGACGACACCACTACCTGGCGTGCGAGATATCATCCTTTATGAATCCTCAGAGAAGTTTGAAGGCTGTAAAAACACGCATCTCTTTCTGCCGGACCTTTTTTTAGATATCAACCGCGAAAAAAACAAAAGCGATGTATTCTACATCGAGGCTGTCACTTCGCCCGAACAGACGCAGAACTGGAACACCTTTTGTACCAAAGTGAGGTCGGATGAATTTAATCGACTGCGGGAGGAAACTGAGGAGGTAATGGAAAGACGCGTAAAACAAGAGCTGGAGGATTATTTCAATGATTCAACCGGCTTCATTGAGCGCAAGATAAAAGAACAGCAGGAACTTCAGCTCCAGAATCAATCCCCGCAAAAACAAACTTCTAATATAGAAAATAGTTCTTCAGGTCGCGAAAAAGGAAACAACGCTTCATCAGTGGCGGGTTCCCGCCGCGGTCGCTCGAGCGATAAGAAAAAGCTGAGCCAGGGCGCTTCACTGAAAGGGAGTATTGTGCAGGCCTTAAGTAATATACGTAGTGAACAGGGTGCGAGCGCCATGCAGGATAGGCAAAATCTTCCTCAGACATTGTCTTATAGATGCCAATCGCATGGGTTCGAAAACATTGATCCACCTGCCGAATCATTTTCCATTAATTACGAGTTTCAGCTTTTTTCGTCCAGTGCCAAGGTTGAGGTGAAGTCGACCAAGAGCACCGATGATATCGGGATGTCTTTTATTAAGCGTTTGCGAGGGCCGAACCACACCGACGATAA